ATCAAATTCGAACACAAATACTACCATTCGATTCATCTCGACTAAATGAGTCAAATGATAGTATTTTCGCTCAAATCTGATCACTAGACATCTAGATCTTACGTCCTAAAGTGACCATTTCATTATATTTAGAGCGTGAAAGTTTATGAACATCAACTTTAAAAGGCGTAAATGAACAGCATTTGTGTTATCGTTATTCTTTGTTTTCAGAAATTTTTAGGATGATACGCATGATCTATAAAAAGTTAGGCGCGTTCGGATACTTATGAAGGCTACTGTATTAGTTAAAGATCTACATCAAAGAACAAATGAATACGTTTATCAGCACAGCATAGAAATGAGGGTCGCACCATTATTACATGTACGTACGTATATCGATATGGTAAGTATGATAGACGAAAACTGTTCATGTACAATCCAACAATCGTTTTTTCTAAATAGCGCCACATTCACACTAGCAAGTGACGCTGACGCGAACGAATGTACAATCCAACAGTCGTTTCTTCTAAATTGTGCCACATTCACATTTAACATATTACTCATACTAGCCAGCGAACTTTTCGTAATATGGGAACCTTGTACAGATTCTATTTTTGTCATTCTTCCTTTCTCTATAAAAATGTGAACAATTCAACCCCTTTTCCCAATAGTGGAAATCAACAAATTTCATATTCTATAAGATTCCCAATATACATGTATTTCATTTAACACTAAGCAATTTAGCAAAGACAAACATGAACAAACAAATCTCTCCCATGTTTTTTTTTGTTGCTCTGATCTTCTTCATCTCTTTGGCTAGTGCCATGCCAAAGAGGATCGAAAGGAGAGCATGCAGTGAAGATAACCGCCGTTGCCAATTTGATCCACCAAAAGAAGTTACTGGCGAAATTACTTTTCAAAGACAGGTCAATTGCTCTGTGATAATCGTTGGCCAACTCAATTTTCATCCAGATGAAATGAATTTACCAATTGAATTGACGAGAAGCAATTACGATATCCATCTTACCTTAACCGGGGATACCGAAACTCCTACAGATCCTTCCGCAGATGATCTGGAAGATAGGATCATACTTAGAATGCCACCAGCACCACCAACTCAAATTAACGAGAGCTTTAGATTCACTTTAGACGATTTTAAGGTCGATTTTAATCAGCTCACAAATTACCATTGTGTACTGGCATACGACGATTGGAGTCGTTTTACAGGAATTCGAGGAAGCGAGGATGTGTTTCTTGCATCTGCTGAGATCAAACCTGCCCCTTAAATTTTTGTTTTTTACTCTTCTAATTTATAAATATAATTTGTATCGATATAAAGCGTACCTTTTACCGTTATCAATCAAATAAAGATGATTAGTATTAACATTTTAGTTTAACGGTCAGGGGTAACGTTGATGCTAATTATAAATTTATAATCAATACGGAAAGTAATGGCGGACGAATTTTTTCAAAACTAAAAAAAATTTAAATAATAAAACACAAAAAAAAAATATTTACGAAATGTGATCAAGTAGGGCAACATGCCCACATAAAATATTAATATTTCCTCCTTTCTTGTCAATACAGGCTTGAACGCGGTCCGGCATACTGCTGATACAGCCAAAGATCAGCTCATCGGGAAGATTTATCCACTCATTCTCCACTAACGCGATAAAAGCCTCCTGTGACACCGATTTTTTTTGAGCGACAATTTTTCAACATTCCGTTTAAGTAATGACCAGATTTTTTCGATCGGGTTAATATCGGGGCTGTATGACGGCCACGGAAGAACGCGTCCAGGCAGCCGAGCTTTGAGATCATTCTTTACATCATTTGATCAGTGTTTTTGATCGTTGTCCTGCTGGAATATCCAGCGCCAACGACCATACATGTTTGTTGCATTGTCATATATACAAGTGATTACATGTATTAAGAATTTCGCGGTAACAGATGCCGATCCATGTTTTGTGTAAATGTGCATATCCCAACTTTTCCACGTGCACAAATCGCTCCCCACATATGGAGTTTGAATGGGGTGTTTTACCATTGGTGCAACAGTTTTTTCACGCAAACACGCCAGACAAGTGTTTCGGGATAATTGTAGAGTTGTTTCGTCGGAAAATACAACCTTGCGCCAATTATAATCAAGATGATTGCCTGCCCATTGAAATCGGTCTTCTTTGGCTTGAAGAGGAACACGTCTAGGCAAGCAACATAACCGAGCCTAGAAAGCTCGTCACGGACAGTTTGCACCTACTTCGAATCCTGTGTGTGTTTCTTCGAGCCGCCGTAAGGAAATGATTTGAATTTACGATTTGGCCGATGTGGCGGTGCATAACAGACGAAAATTTATTTGGACGACCAGGACGACAAATAGCCGGAATTTGTCCATTTTTACGAATACCAATTTTTTGTGAAATTTCTCTAGCATTACGCCAGCCATTTCGCCAAAATCTCTTTACGGTCTCACGATTGAATTTTACGGGGGTTGTCAGACATTTTTAAAGGTAATAAAAATCGTTTTTTTTATTTACAAATCAAATAAATGTTGCACATGTTGCACAAGGTCGATCGCTTTCTGGCAGGTGCTGCCTGACGAAAAATTCAGCAGTCAGTATCACCGCCATTACTTTCCGTGCTGACTGTAATTGAGAAATTACTAGCATACGTATCATTATTTGTGCAGAAATCCTGGCTTCGGAATCGGATGCTTCACAGATGAGTCTATTTAGCGTTAGGAAAATAAATTATTTCAATCCAACTAACGGCTTGATTCCATCAACGTTAGTAAAGACTCTCAATTGTCTTTATACATCATACCGAGCAGGATTTTTATATTTCTACTGATAATCGGGGAATGAGGATAATGTCGTTATATGTATCGAGATGTGTACCAATAATCACAATTATTATATCGATATGCAAAGTTTAAAGTTAACTAGATTACAAGAAAAAGAAATATCATTCATAAAGTAACACCAGAACACATATAGTATTGGTATTGTTGTATATCGATATATATTTTTGCAATTCGACTTTTAAAACCGGTTGGAATGTATGTTGTTGCGGCGTCTATTTTGAATTTCTGTCAACGCCTTGTCTACGGGTTTTTCATCCGACAGTTTCCTTGCTTCATAGCATACTGTGTTAGATCGTATCAAACATCCCTTCCGGCTATGGCCTCAGTTAAGGGATCGAATGCTATCTAATTTCTAACGAATAAAATAAAAAAATGAACTGTCTTTTCAAAAATATAACAAATTACTTATAAACGAATCGTTCTACCTCTCCCATTCCTAGGATTGTAAATGGAGCATACTCCGGGTTATTTCCGGGTTACTATGGAATTTCTAAATTTCACTCCACTCCGGAGCCATAATTATATAATCCCAAACCACTCCATGCTCCACATGAGTGACCCGGAGCTAGAATGATTATCTATTTTAAAAATAGCCAATGAAATAGTTTCGTGATTAAAGTCCAGTGTTGTGTCTATTCGGAAGTTTGTTTAATTAGCGAAAAAGATCACAACGCATCGTTTATGAGCTAAACTGAATGA